CAGCCCTGCTCTGAGCCCGACCAGGGGCTGCACCTAGGGATTGGGCCTGCCCTCTGCCACCTGGGAGCAGGCCTAAGCCAGCAGGTCGTTATCTCCCGAGGGGTCCCAGACTGCGAGTGGGCACAGGCCAGGCTGAGGGACCCCCCTCCCCCCCAGTGCACAAATTTTTGTGCACTGGACCTCTAAAATATATATATATATCTTAATATCATCATTCAACCAAATCTTCATCTTGTTTTTTATGAAAGTATAATAAGAATAAGCTTAATCAATGCCAAATTTAAAAGTAAACTTATTATTCCCCCAGATATAATCACCGTTTTCGATTTTGAAGACCTTTAAAGTTCTGATTGATGAAACACAAAGTATCAATGTCCCACTTCTAATCAACATTAATAATTTTAGTTCTCTACTCATATGAAAAACCCTGCCTTAAAAAAAATCAAACCCTTCTTAACGATACTAGGTCTATGCTTGGCAGTTTTCCACATGTGCTATAAAGATGGTTTTAGTCTATTGGGATGTTTGTTGTCTGTATTTCATTCTTTTTAAACATTCAAAAATTTAGATGCAGACACTGTTTAGCACCATTATTTTCCCCCTTCATGTCAGTGATTTAGATGCAAGGTATAAAGCTCAATTTCATTACTTTAAACATATTACCTGCATAAAGTTTTAAAAGCTTGTTTTTCAAGCCAGAAGCCATGTTGGAAATTTTACTTGGATTCAGTTTTCAACATAATTCCAGAAAGATCAAATTAGTTGTCTGAGGTCACACAACTGGTTTGTGGCAGAGCTAGAACTACAATTAGATGTTTCCATTCCTTCAAATTATGTTCATATCTAGCACATGAATATGTTTTGGAGACTAAGCACTATTCAGATCTTGGCGCTCACTTTAAGTAAAATCCCACTTAATGCAACATTTGGACTCCAAATATTTCAATCCACTAAAATGCTGGATTCCGTTGTTGCAGATAAGAAGTTTGGGAAGCTGGCTGCAGGATACAAATCCTTTTCAGATTCGGGTGTGGGTTGGTGCCGCATAATAGTGGTCTTTCTGACTAAAGAGGAAGGGGCCAATTTGGGGTTCTGGGGCTTGTCCAGAAGGGCAGAATCTCCAGGTCAGCGCCCCTTTCATTGACCTGGTGTGGAAATATGCGAGGGCTATGGGGACCCACCCTCCATCTCCCGCTTCTTAGGGCGGGTGGCCTATTATTTTCCTGTCCATCCGGGTTCTCCTTGAGGAGACAAAAACTATCTCCTCTCAGCCCTTCCCCCAATCAATACCCCATCTCTCTCTCTCTCACACACACACACACACACACACACACACACACCCCTTTAAGAATCTGGGAGGGGCGTGGTCGCTGGGTAGAAGACAGTCGCCAATCTCATCACGTCTGATTTTGCTGTGTTGCAATCTTTCTTTTATCTCCTCTCAGCCCTTCCCCCAATCAATACCCCATCTCTCTCTCACACACACACACACACACACCCCTTTAAGAATCTGGGAGGGGCGTGGTCGCTGGGTAGAAGACAGTCGCCAATCTCATCACGTCTGATTTTGCTGTGTTGCAAGCTTTCTTTTCTTTTTTCTATCAACATTAGCCGTGATCATCAATTGGATAAACATGAGTCAGTAGTATGCAAGCACAGCGACCTGAGTACCTACCCGTAATTAAAGGGCCTTCAGAACCAACGAGCGTAAGGTGGAAGTTTATGGGTCCAAACGCCCCGTACACCACCAGATACACCAGGCGAGTGCTGTCAACATCTATTCTTTAGTACAAGTTGGAAAGGAACGAGAAACAGGGTGTCAGACCTGAGTTACAGCAGAGTCTCAGCAGGCCTCCGACTGCAGGCACCAGTTTCAGGAGAATGACTGGGACAGGGGAGCCGCCGGGAGGGGGCCCGGGAGGCCGACCTACGGAGATTTCAAGACACCCCGTGCACACGCGCGGGTTTCTGCAGTGAGTGACACCAAGGGCCCAAATTCTGAACTGACCGAGGCCTCGCAGGGCAGGAAGGACGCCGCGATTCGCCGCCGCCGCCGGGGAAACTGCGCGGCGGGACGCCCACCGCCAGGGGGCGACCACGCCACGAAGCGGGGCCTTGGAGGGACCGAAAGACTGGCCGGCGATGGCCACTCCGCGGCGCTGTCGCCCTTACCTCCAGGTAGAACAAGTCCACGGTCGTGATCTGCGAGTCGAGGAAATCTTCATAGGTGTTGAACTGAGTGACGATGTTGTCCACCGCCGTCAGCCCCTCTTCCTGATCCATCGCGGTTGCCTCGGCTGAAGCGTCCCTAGCAACGCGGGCAGGAGGTTCCACCCACTGCGTTCTTTTCCAGCAGCTGGGAGCGGTGGACGTTGATCCCGCCCCCGGGGGTGGTTACCTTAAGGGCTTCCGCCTAATTCCTGGCAACACCGCCTCCCAGGGCACACTCCAAGTCCAGGTCTGACACCTCAGCTGGTTCAGACTTGGGTGAAATGTGGAGCCAGAGAGAGATGCAAAGTGCAATCCAAAATTAAATATTATAAGACTGCCAGAATAGTACACACAATATTATAGATCAGCGCTTCTAAGCTCATTCTAAAACACTGTTATGCAGGACAGAAATATCAAGGTTAGTTCTCTGGTAACTGAAGAGCTCTCTTCACATTTGTCTGTAAAGAGAATATCTCAGAACAGAAGTCTCAGGTAATGGTCTGTGACCGAACCCAATTATTTGAAAAGTTATAACTTAAAAGCAAATTATTGCTAGTGTTTGCGTATGTGGAAGAATTTGTGAATTTCCCAAAGGGAAGAAGCTTGAAGAAAATATATTTGAAGACTTCTTTTGGCACCAAGTGCTTGTTTTGTAAACTTTTTACTTTTTAAGTTTCAATAAGCACACAATTAAAGATTCTGGCTTATATATATAATTTTATTGATATTTAGAGGGAAAGTAAGAGGGTTAGAGACATAGAAACATCAAAGAGAGAGAAACATTCCTCCGCTACCTCCTGCATGTCCGCCACTGGAGGTGGAGCCTGCAACCCCCGCCCCTGTGCCCTGACCAGGAATTGAACCAGCAACCTCTTGGCTCATGGCTCCACACTCAACCACTGAGCCATCCCTGCCACGTGAAGCTGCCTTTCTTAAAGGGTGAAATATCTGTGGAAACCTAGAAAGTAAAGTTTTATAATCAAGACCTTTCCTCTAGAACAAAGTTTTGCATATTTAAAACATGAATTAATGTAATCCAACATGGCTTTTGGAATCCATTTTTTGGGATTTTAATATTCTTCAAATCATCTTTGGGAATTAACACATTACAATGGGAGCCTGTGGTAGTTGAATTTGGTAAGTACTGAATTGATTTTGAAGATCTTCACAGATGATCTAAAAAAAGTTTTATTTCAATGAAAGCATCTAGTAAGATACTTCACTTTTAGTTAGCTTTCCCTTAAAAAGGTCATCTCCACAATTAGGATGTACAAATGTACAAATTTCAAGTAATATAGACACAATAATCTCTAGGATATCAATGACTTGTTTTTTAATTAATGAATATGTTCTGAAATGTTTAAAGGGCATTTTAGACATTGTTTTAAAATGAAATTTAATGATTGGATTTAGGTGAAGAGAAAGAAAGGAGAGAGAAGCCCTGGCACTCATAACATGACAGCAACACAACAAAAACATTTATTGAGTGCTTCCTGCATGCCAGGCACTGGCCTACGTGCCAACAATGGATTACATCTTGTTAGTGTTTGTGCTAAATTATTGGTCACCCACAATTTGTAATAATGAAGCTGAATTTATTGAAGGTGTTTGTTGTGATGAGATCACTGGACTTCCACACCATCGCAGTTCTTCTAAATTGCTGAAGTTCTGGTTCCACAGCTTCTCTGTCATGGAGACACCTGTGTCCCTGTGTTGTAACGCATTCATTTTCTCCTCCTTTATCTGACAGGATAAAAGGAAGGGCCCAGAAGAAAGACAGGTATGAGATGGAACTGCTCCCAGGAGTGGGGTTGGCAGGTGTCAGCAGCTGCTAATGGTTGACAGCTATTACTGTGCTATGGGATAGAGCAGTGGTTCCCAACCTGGGCTGCACATTAGAATCACCTGGGAATCTTTTTAAAATCCTGATTTCTGGGCCTCATCCTCCGGAAATTCTGTTTCTTTGTTACTGATGTTGTGGCCCCACCCCATCACAAAGAAACAGAATTTCCGGAGGAGGAGGCCCAGAAATCAGGATTTTAAAAAGATTCCCAGGTGATTCTAATGTGCAGCCAAGGTTGGGAACAACTGCTCTAAGGCAA